GACAAAGCATGAACGGGGGAGGGTCAGGAAGAGGGAGACACAGAATCTGAAATAGGCCCCAGGCTCTGAGCTGTCAGCACAGACCCCGACACGGGGCTCGAACTCACGGACCGCAAGATCATGACCTGAGCCGAAGTCGGCTGCTTAACCGACTGAGCCACCCAGGCGCCCCAGTCTGGCTCTGTTTAAAATTCAGTTCAGCACTGTCATACCTGCAGGGGACAGCTGGGGGTCTGTCTTAACTGCCCATTGAGAAAAGTAAGTTTGTTTGGGAGTGAGAGCCATATGCTCTATTTTGTAATCTTCCTCTGCATCTTAAAGTGCCCAGAAAGCCCTCAGGTGCAGAGTAGGTATTTACTAAAACAACGAATTAAATGTTTTTGAAGCTCTACAGTCCTGTAGTTGAATTGTAGCAAGTATAACCACTGGATTGAGTTCTTGTGCAATCCAGAGATTGAGTCTTCAGGCTTGTGAGTTCAAGGCACAGATTCCTTTTAATGGCCAGGTTTTATTTGAAGTGAGGTTGTATTAAAGCAGAGGGTCCATTCTTTAGAAAAGACTTCTTCGCCAGGAGTAGAGATGTATATTCAAACACTGTTCTAGTTCAGCCCACATATAAGCACGTAGAATTAAACTGAAAAATATTCATAAGCACTATGTATTGATTTTATTGCACTGCCTCAGTTTGCACATGGTAATAATTCTTTGGAAGATCTCGGGCCTCCTGGGTGGCTCAGGCAGTTAAGCGTCCAGCTTCAGCTCAGGTCATGATCTCACGGTTTGTGAGTTCGAGCCTCACATCAGGCTCTCTGCTGTCAGCGCAGAGCCCACTTTAGATCCTCTGTCTCCCTCTCTCTGCCCCTCCCCTGCTCACATGTGCGCTCTCTGTCTCTCTTAAAAATAAATATTAGGGGTGCCTGGGTGGCTCAGTCTGTTGGGCATCCAACTTCGGCTCAGGTCATAATCTCACGGCTTGTGAGTTCAAGCCCTGCGTTGGGCTCTGTGCTGACAGCCCAGAGCCTGGAGCCTGCTTCAGATTCTGTGCCTCCCTGTCTCTGTGTCCCTCCCCTGCTTGCACTCTGTCTGTCTCTCAGAAATAAAGATTAAAGAAAAAAAGTTAAAAAAAAATAAACATTAAAAAATATTTAATTAGAGAAAGACAAATATCACATGACTTTACTCATATGAGGAATTTAAGATACAAAACAGATGAACATAAGGGAAGGACAATAAAAATAATATAAAAACAGGGAGGGGAACAAAACATAAGGGACTCTCAAGTATAGAGAACAAACAGAGGGTTACTAGAGGGGTTTTAGGAGGGGGGATGGGCTAAATGGGTAAGGGGCACTAAGGAATCTACTCCTGAAATCATTGTTGCACTATATGTGAACTAACATGGATGTAAATTAAAAAATAAAATAAAATTCAAAGAAGTATATTTAAATATTAAAAAAAATAATTCTTTGGAAGATCTAAGACAGAATGGTCTGGATAACATAGCTCAGAGTAAGCAGCATGCTATTCACCATGTATGTTCAAAAAGGCCCTTTAGAACAGCAGTGGCATATGACTCTGTAGTAGGGAATAGCAGCCCTGCATGTTCATATTTATTTAACAAAAATTATGTATTCCTTGTATCCGCTTATGAATGGCATCCATCCCTTTAGGATCTTTAACATTACTATGTCATTAGGCGGTGTCCAAAGTTCAGTTTTGAGGGCGTGGGGCATGGGCATGCTTTCTAGAGATTCTCAAGTTCTTGGGTTGCCCTGCTTCCTAGCTTGGGAGCGCTGATCCAAAGTCTTGTTTGAGGGTAAACAACACAGTCTTATTTAAGAGAGAGTGAAATTGTATTAAGGAAAAATATCCAAGTTTTCTGACCTTCAGGAACATTATCAAATGCTTCTAAAATAAGAATAGTAACCACATCAGGGATGTTTAATGCAAGCAAGTCAGTAGAATACCCTGGTCCCCCTAGATCCGCCTGCCCCACCCTGTAAATAAAATGAAATGGAACCAAATGGAATGAGATGAAACCAGAAACAAAAGGGAGTTAACTTCACATTTTCTTCAGGTAGAAAGTTGATCTGTACACAAATCACTAATCATTGATCCCTGAAGGAGGGCTCTTACTCCCTTATGCAATCTACCACAGTGCTCTGTGTATAGGGAATGCTCAATGTCATTGCACAAAGGAACTCTGTTTCAGAGCTGCACTGTACTATAGCCACCACTAGCCACGTGTGATTATTTACATTTATATTAGTTTAAGTAAAATTAGACATTCATTTCTTTAGAAGCACTAATCAATTTTAAGTACTTATGGCCACATGTGGCTTGTGGCCACCATACCAGACAGCATGGGTATAAAACATTTCCATGGTCCCAGGAAGTTCTTTCAGACTGCACTGCAGAGATTTGGAGGGTAGTACAGCAATGGTCTTGTGGGCTTCCTTTGTTCTCTCAAAATTTGGTTATTGCATATTGATTTAAAAAGAATTCTATAAAAACAAATTTTGTAGGGGTTGGTGTGATTTTCCTTTCACTTAATTTTTATGTTAATTTTTTAGAGCCCAAAAGTTCGTCTTCAGGGACGACAAGTACACTTTCCCAACCACTCCGAACTACTCCTGGAAACAAACCTAGTGGGTTGACCAGAGATCACAGCGCAGGGACCCCCAGGAGTTCTGGAGAACCGCAAACCGTGATCTCTGTGGAAGCCTTCTCGGGCCTGAGACTCAGGTCAGTAACTGTAAAGGCCTCTCACTCTGTTCTCCTGCCCCACTAGATGCCTTGTCCTCCTTCCCGAGGACTGAGCCTTCTACAAACAATGTATTTGTACAGCAGATCCACTTAACAACAACAGCTCTTGAACTTGGCAAAACTTGGCAGTAAAAATAACCATAACGTACAGTACAGTTGGCATGTGAAATGTTTAAAGAAGATTTTTTATGTTTACATGGTGAGTAAAAGATAATGCATCTGTAAAAAGGAAATGGGCAAATAAATAATAGTGTACATAATCAGAAACAGTGATAGAGACTATTTTTAAATACATAAAGGTGTTCACAGTTTAACCGGGATCGTAGTATCTTGTAATTAATGTTAAGAAAAATACCTGCACTCTTTTTCTTTCTAATAACTTTCAAGGCACGTTTATGTCCTTCGCTTCGGTTGTGTGGGGAGATTAAGATTCTCTGTTAAAATAGGAATAAATCCCAGGATCAGTTCAGTTCAGAGCCTGGACTTTTAAGTCTTCTGTGCCCCCCATCACTAGTCCATTGCAGCTCCACAAACACTTCTGTCGAAGCCCAGGGCAGGGCAATAATCCTTACGCTGAGACCAGATTGCTTTTAGTACAGTCCATCTGAGTAGCTAGGTGCTATCCTAGAACACCTAACCCTTGTCAATCTAAACTAAAACTGCTAAGATCTTAAATTACACGTTACTGAGCGGTGGCGGGGAGGCAGGTAGGTGCCACCGCACCGTAGATGTGTATTTAAAGACTCCATACTCTCCAAAATCGGAAGAAAGTACTCAGTGTTTTAATGACACCTGGGACATGTGGCATGGAATACAGTAAAAGCTGTGGTTCTCACTGAGGGCGCTGCAAGGTTTTTTCCAAGGTATACGTCCCCCTACCAAGATGATCCTGTCCACTGCAACAAGTTCTTGGTTGAAATCCCCCACAGATGAAGATGTTGCGAGTGTGAGTGCACTGTGCTCGTAAATTGAAGTGGGTAGACAAAGTCAGAACTACTCAGCCAGAGCTCCTGAGTGGCCTGCAGATTTAGGGGATCACACAGTTGTTGGAGTCTCATTAGGAATAAGAATATATTAATCGAAGCCTTGGTTTATTGTTCTCTGAAAATGTTGATGAAATTTTAATATCTTATTTTGTAATCTCAACTTATGATTTTGTATTAAACTTAGAGATCACTTTTAAAAGAATATTGTAACATACATTATAATGTATAAGAAAAAGAGTGTATGATCTTTCGTTTTCTATATAAGCTCCACTTTTCTATCGAAGGAAGCACAAACCTGGCTTTAAGAATTATCTTATTTTTATTTATCTGCCATAAAAATCTTTGCCTTGGGGGCGCCTGGCTGGCTCAGTTGGAAGAGCAAGCGACTCTCGATTTTGGGGTCGTGAGGTGGAGCCCTGTGTCACACATGGTGCCTACTTAAAAAAACAAACCATCTTTGCTTTGCCCATACTACATAACTAAACCTCCCTGAGAGCCGAGACTTCAGGGTAGATCTCTGTCCATAGCATCTCTTCTTACCAAACTGCTACAGTGCCAGGGAATCTCTTATTAGAATAATAATCTAATAATTGCTGGTGTCTTGACCCAGGCGGCCTCGAGTGTCCTCCACAGAGATGAACAAGAAAATGATTGGCCGAAAACTGATCAGACTTTCTCAGCTCAAGGAAAAGATGGCAAGTGAGAAGCTGGAAGAAATAGACTGGGTGACTTTTGGGGTTATATTGAAGAAAATCACTCCACAGAGTTGTAATAGTGTAAGCATCTTACTGATTTCTTAGCTGCTCAATCACAAACTAACAGTGGGGACTCATGTTCTTGATTTTTCTAGCCCAAGCCCATCAGTATTTCATTTTGAAATAGCTGCTCATAAGTTCCCAGATTGCCTCACCTTTGTTGGATTGCTGTCTGAGAGGGGTGTATGTGGAGAATGCCCTACTTATAGAAGATCTGGTTGTAGAGGGTCCTTGGGCTTTTCATTGTATTGTTTTTGCTGCATCTCACTTGTCATTGTTTTTGTGGTACATGTGGGTTGCCCCAGTGACGGTGTCCTCCTGCTTATGGAGGAGAGGCTGAGCACAGACTCTCTGGACAGCCTGACTGGAAGTAAGAGGGCAACTGCAGAAATTCTGAAATTGCCGTCCTTGTGAGCACAGTGAATATTACAAGAAATCTAACAAGTTCTAAAATCACAGTTGACTGAGGCGTAACAAGATTATCTTGTGGCATGGCGAGTCACAAGATCTGGGTTCTAAGCCTCATTCTCCCTTTAACTATGTGAACTTAGGTTTACCTTTAATCTTTGAGGACTTCCATGTGCTTATTTTTTAAAGGAAGGAACTGGCTTTTGATTCTATCAGAATTCTCTTCCACCTCTCAAGATACTATGATCATGGTCATTACTGATTTCTTTCTCTTAATTGAGATCTTGGACAACCTTGGATTTTTCTACAAGGCCTGGCCTCCTCAACAACGAGTTGACTTTCAGATTAGTGAGTCCTTCTCTAGCCCTATTACTGTCAAGTTGAACGTGAACACGTCTGGTTCATTTGATTAGGTTCTGAATTGTGTCATAAGTGGCTATGATGACATTGAAAGGCATTGTACAAATCCATGGGAAGGGGCGCCTGGGTGGCGCAGTCGGTTGAGCGTCCGACTTCAGCCAGGTCACGATCTCGCGGTCCGTGGGTTCGAGCCCCGCGTCGGGCTCTGGGCTGATGGCTCAGAGCCTGGAGCCTGTTTCCGATTCTGTGTCTCCCTCTCTCTCTCTGCCCCTCCCCTGTTCACGCTCTGTCTCTCTCTGTCCCAAAAATAAATAAACGTTGAAAAAAAAAAAAAATCCATGGGAAAATAGAACACTCAAATCCAGTCAGTGGCTCACCATAACCTATAACCACACCCACTCTGGGTTGCCTCTGTGAAATAGCTGGATTGTGTATTGAAATTATTTTGTTTTAAAAAAAAATCTGTGAAAGTGGAAGTTGTTGATACAGTCAGCATTTTGAGTTACATTTCTTCAGATCCATGATAATGCTTTTGAAATTTGACCATTAAACATAGCCAGTTGTCATTAAATGAGGCTTTTGTTTTTCTTCTAAACTAGGCAAAGATTTTAATAGCATAGAGCTGATACTTCTTTATTCTTGTTAATAATATCATCAGTGATAAATAGTAGATCCACTAAGTTTTTATTTTTTTATTATTATTATTTTTTTTAACGTTTATTTTTT